TGAGTAGGGCAGGCCACTAGGAGTCTTTTGAACCTTTTATAGGCATCCCCTAGTGATTCTCTATCTTTTTGCTTGAAATTCAGTATATCATACCATTTTCGTATGAACACTGAGGCTGGAAAATATTCCTTCTAAAATGCAGTCTCCATTTCTTCCCAAGTTGTTATACTATCAGTTGGAAGAGAAAAGAACCATTCTTCAGCATCATCAGTCAAAGTGAAGGGGAGCATTCTCAATTTCTTTTGTTCCTGAGTGTGACCATCTATCTTCAAGGTGGTGCTAAAAATCTCTGTAAATTCTTATTAGCGTCTTCATTCAATCTTCCCTAAAATGACCTTCTCTCAAGTTGAGTGATAATACTGGGATGTATCTGAAAATTTGGTACATTCACTGGGTGGTTTACAATAGTGAGTCTACCAGCATGTGTATTCCTTCTACCATAGTCACCAAGTAGTCTCTCAGGTGGATTTTCGCCCATGTTTTTAGTTTCTAAATATTACTGTCTCTGGTGTTCTGAATGGTGTTCTGAATCTGTGTCTTGGTGCTTTGAGTGAATTGAGGCAATATCCTCTTTGGAAACTAGTATGGCTAACTTAACATGTCTTTTCCTTGCGTGAAAAGTTATTTCGATCTCTGCATCAAAAAGAAGTTCAGTTGAGGTCTTACCTCGCATAAAATATTAGTGAAAATATAATAATAAACAAAATAACTGAAAAATAAAATTTTAATTGCAGAGCAATACAATTTCAATTGAATAACAATGAAACTCTGTATTTTGGCAGTCCCCGGCAACGGCACCAAAAACTTGATCGGAAATATATCAAGTGTACTATTTTCACCAATGTAGTAATAATGGGATTTTCTTAAAGTATAGATCTTGAGGACTACGTAGGAAATACTGAGTTTTATTATTAATTCAATCAAACAAAAACAATAGTTTTGGGTTTGATTGGAATAAATCCTTGCGAAAGATTAAATGACTGAATGTAAAATGGGACTTTTTCTGTTTGATTAAAGGATGGTAGGGGTGAGTGTATGATTTGCCATGAAATAGCCTTCACTCTTTGATCTTTTCAACAAGTTCATCCACCTCAATTACCGATTCTAAAGATTATCTTTCCCTAAGTCCTTAGTGAAAAACATTTAACCGTCTACCCTAATTTCAATGTCCATTCAAATTAGTTTTGAGGTTAAGCATTAAATTATCAAGAATTATTCTAGTTATCATAGGATTTCCCTAGCCGTAGGTGAAATCATCTATAATATCATTATTTAGAAAATCATTAACACGACCGTCCGACTCTAATGTGTTAATAAAAGTGAAATCATATGGTCCCATAGGGTAAAACTATAAATTCTTTTAAACAGTCAAATTGGTGCATTAAAAATTGTTATGTTGAATAAAACAAAGAGATCAGTATTCTTAACATTACAAATCAGGGACACCCCCTAGCATTGGGGGGTTTAGCCTCTCATAGAATTCATAAGTAAAATAACACAAATATTAGATGTAAACATTACAATATGTTTGGATGGTTCGATCTTCAATTGCTATCACGCATGAAGAGTTCTCTGTTCCCAAAGCTCCTCTGGATCTCCAGTCTTCTATTGTGAAATTCTTCAATCGTCAAAAGTCCCTTTTCTCCTTCTCCAAATTAAGTTTAAGTAGTCTGATCCTTCCTAGGTGATCCAAAAAGTCCAAAGTAGCCTCCAGGATTCAAAAATACTAGAATTTCCCAAAAATAAGAATTATCAGCGTTTGAGCTGATACGGGCCGTGTCAGTGGACACGGACACCCGTGTCAGAATATATCATCCTTCCTCCAAAAGTTCATGCTTCAGCTGACTTGACACAGGCTGTTTCCTATGACACGAGTGCCCGTGTCGCCTTCTGTCTTACTCTAACTTCACTTTTTCCAAGTACTCCCCCTGACACAGCACGTGTCAGGCGACACGGCCACCCATGTCAGGGCTCATAAAACACTTCTTCCAGAACTCTGAATTCTGCATTTTTCTGCCCCGATTTGTCCTGTTTTATTCTTTTAAACTTGAAAACACTAAAATACAAAACCAAAGCATAAAATACGGTAAAATGAAATGAAACATCAGTCAATTAAAAGAAATGATAACTAAAATAAATTCACAATTCCTGTGCAAAAACCACTGATCAGGTGTCACATTTCATGAAAACATAAATATTCTGCTCCATAACTCGGGTTACACCAAATCATGTTATTAATCTCAAAACTTCACTTTTATGATGTTTACACGATATCAAAACATATATGATGAATTTGCAGCGGAAACATATTTAAAACAATCATAGATCAACTCAAAACATGTAGTCTCATAATAAACACTTTATAACATAATAAAAATGATTGCATCTTTCAATCAAACATCTTAGATTGTCTCAATAAATTAAATAGGATGTAACATCAAATATAACAATATAATAGTTTCGGAAATCAAACATTCACCTCAACCCGATGTTACATGATCAGAGCAGAATTCCACTACATAAAATGATAAGCTAAAGGCAAAGTTTCAATGGCTATCTTCCACTTACTTCTACATAATCTATTCCTGAGTATATGCACGTTACCAACGTAGAGAAAATATTCAAACAAAAGGGGTGAGTAATCATAATCAATTATAAGATACATACGAAAGAACAAATTGCAACAATTATAAGCAACAAGTCAACAACATCAATATATCATAAACTCACACCCCAAACATCATAAGTAACTCATATACAACTTTCATCACAAGGCTCACATATAATCACCTAACATTTACAAGTATCACCATATTATATAGCACCAACAAAATTATGCAATGCCACATAGAATGATAATGCAACACCATTGACTCAATGCATGTGGAACCAAGTTATGAACACACATGTTCATTTTGCTCCCTGTTCCACCACCATATGATACATGATCTGCCACCATAAAATCCGGTTCACTCTTGAACCGGAGCACATCACAAAAATCGTTACTTCCACCATAGATAACGATTCACTAATTCTCCATCATAGGAAATTAACTACTCACACTCAAAGTACAACCATAAGATCGAGGCCACATCATAATTAGAGCCGAAGTTCCAACAACATGGATGCATGAATACAACATGCAATAACAACCTAATCAATATCAATACCATAATAACAACATCAAACTTCATCATCATAACAACGTCATCATAACATAAACATCATCGTAACAATGTAATAATTTATTAACCGAACATATAAACAATCGACTTCACAAACATAGTAGACATATGAATAATACTCAAATAATTCACAGATCTCTATCATATTATATCTCTGTGCGTATCGATCTGACAAGATCTGGTTTCTCGAACACATCTTTTCCACTTCAGAGTGGCCCATCTAAAGATCCTTCCGGATGCATCATGTGTATAACATGACTTTCAAAATTGCTACATTTTGTTGAGGCTTACTTGAAACTGGGGTGTCCTATACCGAGTACATCGTTAGAGTGGATGACACATGCCACAAAAGAGGCATAAACTTGGCTGAATCAATTTCTGAAAAGGATGAAAGAGTTCACCAAATTGAGCGAGCTTGAAAGAGAATCAAATAAGGAAAATCGAAGGAGGAACCAGTCGTAGATTTATGCGGTGATGCATCTTTTGATGCATTTTAGATTATAATGGATACACTTTTTAATGTATTATCGTCAACGATGTAATCTTGATACCGTTTAATACATAAGTAATATATAATTAGTAATTATGGCGTAAATGTCGACCGCTTCTGTTTACATATTTATGGTTTACAACTTCTGTTTATGTTTTCTAAGTTTCTAGTTTGGTTTTGGTTCATGGGTGATTTCAGATATGCATATCCGGACAAATCCCATTTTTATTTAAAAAAATCAGAGAACTTTTCGGATGTGCATATCCGAAAAACACATTTTTTCGTAGAATAATAGTGTTTATCCGGATACGCATCTTCGAAAAGTGCCTTGATGACATGATAAAGTTTCTAAGGTCCAAAGTGATCCAAGCCTTGCATAAATAGGGTGTCTCTCATTTCGTTTTCTACAAAACACCCGATATCTGAAAATGAATACATATCCTCCCACATTGCATATGTGTATTTCAATGGTGAGAAGCCATCACTTCAACTTAGGATTTGCAATGACATAACTCGCGCCGATTTTGATATCCAAACTGAATACGCTCATGCGATATCTAGAAAATTAACACGTCGTCAAGACTGAGTATCGTTCACCTTTGTTTGACAGCAACAGGACTATACAATTTACCAACTTTGAACCGAAGACAAATGCAGATTTAGAGGTTATGTGGAGTATTTTTCGCAGATATGAAACAAAGAGTTTGATTGAAGTGGATGCAAAGATTGCACGATCCGTCAACGATATTATCAACATGTTGCAACGCCCGAAACTACCCGCTTATAACAATGTGTAATGTTAATTTTCCATTATCAATTATCTATGTAATATTAAATGTTTTAGTTTAATGTCAAGTTGTTATGAATTTCCACCGTCTGTTTTGTTTATGTTTTTCATTTGAAATATCATATATATTTTTGAATATATATCTCCGAAGCATATCATACATAAATTTAGAGATCCATATTTAAACAAATTTTAACAAAAGTAATCCAGAATACTTTCCTTTAGAATTTTCACCAGAAATTTATGAGAAGTCACCAAGGTGGAAAAAGAAATTAACTTGATATCTTTAATATATTAAAATAGAATACACACTTAAGCGCCAAATCTTGAGTAAAATCTCACTTAAACAGTTTCTAATCATATTATTTTATTTTCTCTTTTTAATAAATATTATTTAATATATTAATTAATATTTAATATTAATTACTCCAACTCATTATTCTATTACTAATTTCTATATATACTTCAATTATTCAATAAACAAAAATCTTAATTTTAATTCTAACGTACAATATATTTATTCATAATTTATTCCGTGCATGGCAGCGTGAAATTACTAGTTTGGGTTAAAGTTAAACAAATAAAAGCGCGTAACTTTACCGATGAAGCATTATCTCCTCATCACGCCCACAACATCAAACTGACACGGTTTACACAGACAAGAACAATAAAAAGTAAAAACAAACCCATGAACTTCATGACTTTGATTTTTTTCATCTCCTTCTGGTTGTTCCACCGTCACTGGTTTAACGTTAAATTCTGTCATCAACTACCAAATTATTTTTTCCTCTTTCACACATTCCCGTTTTCTTTTCCTTTCTTTATCGCAATTAATTGCATTGTAAAAAAAAAATACATATCTTTTTCTTCAAGTCAAAGAAACGATGAAAAAAAAAACTAACAGAAAAGGGAAAAATTTCAAATAAATTAGGGTTTCAAATTTCTCGTGTTGCTGCATCACGATGGTATCAGAATCATTACCGCCGTTGTTATCATCGTTTTCTGGAGGTGTAAATAGCATCACTGTGTCCAATTTTCTCTCGTGGTGATTCTTCTGAGCCCGTGATCATGGTTCCTTGTACGAGCATTCGATTACGGGCTAATTCTGGTTCTGGATATGAGGAAGTTGTGATCAGAAATGGTGGAGAGGGAGATCGGGTTGAGGAATTGAGCTGTAATGAGGTGATTGGTGGCCGTGGTTTGGTGTTGTCGGAGGAGGCTCGCCGTGTTATAGCTGCGGAGAGGGTTCCTCTTGTTTCTTTGGCTGATGTTGTCGGTGGTGGTGGTGGTAGGGATGGCTCTTCTGCTCACTCGAGGATTGATTTTCAGCGGATTGTGAAGCTTGTTGAACGGATTCTTCCTTTCTCACTGTTGTTGTTGGTTGTTTTGATTCGCCAGCATTTGCAAGGTATGAGTTTATTGTGTATGTAGGCTTTAAATTCTCCTGCATGTTGGTTTGGATTGAAGTGTTTCTGATGTGTAGTACTTTTGGTATAGATATAGACTTCAATTATATGACTGAACTGAACCAAGTTCGTTTTGTTGCTCACCTATAAGAGATACTGTGTGCTTGCTTAACATCAATCATCATACAATCTGTACCTTTTCTTTTTATTTTGGACTTCTGTTATTCAACCTTACTTGAGTTTTGTCTTTATGGCTTATGCATGGGGCTCTTGATATTGATAGCTTTTGCTTTCATATAGCTTGCCTTCTAGTCTATCTTTTTTCTCTAAGGGGATTTTCTTGGTGGAATGATGGTCATGGTCGGACAAAGAAAGGTTGATTGTCTTGTGGAGTGATGAAACTGTGGAGTTTGTATTAAAATTTAAAACACATGTACTATCCTTTTTGTTTGAATTAGTTTTTGGTTTTACTGCTTCTTAAGTGTTTTCTGTTAACAATTATCAAAATAATGCTCTGTATGAGTTGTGTGGCTTTCAACACTGTGATGAAGAGGGTTGAGCATAAGAAAATATAATGCGGAATGAGCATAAGAGGGTTGTGTGTCTTTTCTTCTTCTTTGATAACTCTTCATCCATTCTGAATAGGGTAATAAACAACATGGTTTGGTTTTTAACTGTCGTTAGTATTGAATTAGTTGCTTAATTGATTCTAGGGTCTAAGGGCATAGTAAATTGCTTCTCATATATAATTTAATTAGTTTCAGTTTCTTCTGATTTTATTCTTTGGCCATTTTTCCATTTTTTTCTGAACAACCAAATTTCAGTAGTTAGTGTGTTATGTTAGTGGGGGAGTTGAGACAATGTGCTCCGTATCACTCCAACTCTAAATCCGTCCCCCAAAACCAACCCATCCACCTCATCCCTCCCAACTTAACTTTGTGATATTTGTGTATGAAAACTTGCAGGTTTCTTTGTCACAATCAGTGTATCAGCTGTAATGTTCAAGTCAAATGAAATTGTTAAGAAACAGACTGCTCTAAAGGTACTACTATGTCCATAATTTTGCAAGTCATTTAAAATTTTCATTTCTAAATGAAGCATCTACTTCATAAAAAGACGGCAAAACAGTTAGAGAGACTCAGTTCAAGTTCTGTTTTGCAGGGAGATCAGAAAGTCTCTATCCTTCTTGGTGTCTCTTTTTCCTTTGCGCTGTATGTGACATGCATTTACTGGTGGTATCGGAATGATGATATTTTACTTCCACTGGCCTTGTTTCCACCAAAAGCAACACCACCTTTCTGGCATGCAATATTCATCATTTTGGTTAATGGTATGGACTCATTGTATACATGCAGTTATTATATTGTTATCATTTGTTTGCACTAGATCTTTTATTTTCTTTATCATACTTAGTGACATAAATCTATGTAAATACTTTGTGATTGATATAGAAAGCAATCTGCTTAGCAAATAATTATGCAGTTTGGGTCACTTGTCGAATACATCATAAACATACTAGGTGCTTTTAAGTTTCAGCACAATAGAAGGGTTATTTGTTTGATTAATAATGATGAAAGATAACCTTTCCTTTTTGTTTTCATTACATAATTTATCTACACTTTGAAAGATTTGTATCATTTAAAGTATATCATGGATGCGGAAGGAGAACCGTGAGACTGGTCTTTTGTATTTAATCAATTGGATAGGACCAAAATTGAATATGTTTTTTTGAAAAAATTTATGTTGCAAAATGGGTTTTTTGTGTGTCTATTCTTGATATTTGTGTTTTTGTGGCATACAATTATTCTGATTCTGTTGTCGGGGAAAAATTGGTTGCTATCCATGGTCACAATATTCATTGGCTTTCAGACATATTGGTGCGGCAAGCGACAATGGCTTTCAAGTGTTTGTTGCTGCTTTACTACAAAAATGGCAGATGCCATAATTTCCGTCGACAGGTTAGCAGTAGTTTACTTGCTTTTCAAAACAAGCCTGTAGTTTTCGACTGTAATTTCCTGCTGCAGCCATCTGAAAGTGTTTTAAATTGTTTCAAGGCTCAAATGTTAACTCTGGTTGAATACACACTGCTGCTGTATCGTGCTTTCTTGCCAACGCCAGTTTGGTACCGATTTTTCTTTAACAAGGACTTTGGAAGTCTCTTCTCGTCATTGATCACAGGATTGTATATAACATTCAAGCTAACATCTGCAGTTGAGAAAGTAAGCTTTCATTCTTTAAAATTGGCTTTCCTACTTATGCTGTATATAGAGGTGTTTGTGCATGACTGATGACCCTAAATTATTCTATTTCTTTAATCTTTTATATGTTTATTAGGTCCAATGCTTTATTCGTGCTTTAAAAGCGTTGTCAAGAAAGGAAGTTCATTATGGGGTTTATGCCACAACAGAACAGGTGATTATTCTGAAAACGATTGAATCTGGTTCTGAATAATTGCAATTATAATTACACATCTCTAACCTTTGTTTCTATGACGTTTTGTTGCTTGGACATTGTCGCTTTCTTATATTTCTTAATGCATGCAAAATCTACAAAAATATTTAAAATTGGATATGCAAATTTAGATGCTTAAGGTAAGGAGCATGTGTCCCTCCTTTAAACCTTTTTCTTTTTTGAAATTAAATTAAGGAATTCTATATTTAATTGAAGTTCATAAGAGTAGATAAGTTAATGCATCTGTCTTCGATTATAGTAAAAAAAGATGTGGAATATGTTTGCATTCACTCATGACACCAGTTTGGTTAGAACTTTGTCTATGTCCCTCATGTCACCAACCAAGCTGCCTACGTCTGATAAATCTTGCATTTACATTGCTTTGTAATTGTTGGATTGTAGTTTTCTTATATTTTCAAAGTGATTGGTTAACGAACTACTTTGTATAATGTATATACTAATATTTGTACAATCGGAGACTTTTTCTCACTAGCCTCTTTTACTAGTGATTCTAATTTCTAAGTTGAGTATCTAAATGCAGGTCAGTGCTGCTGGTGATCTTTGCGCTATATGCCAAGAGAAGATGCACGGTCCTATCCTGTTGTGCTGTAAACACATGTTCTGCGAGGAGTGTGTATCCGAATGGTCAGTTCATAATTTTATTGTGTTTAAACCCTTTAAATTGCAAACTTACGGCTTATTTAGGAGTTAGGAAAAATAAACTATAATGTTTTATAAATAAAAGAGGATTATTTGGGGTGCACGCAACCAGTCTAGAGTATATCCTGTAAGCTGCCTCTATTAGTTATCATAACGGTTGTAAATATGTTTGTTTAAACTTTGTTGATATGAGGTAATTAATTACATTTAGTTACTTCTAAAAATTAGCATATCTTTGCTAGAATTTTCAGTGGTCTATAATCCTTTTCTAAGAAATAAATTCAGACTATGGAAATGGTTTGCATAAATAATTTATGTTTATTTACTTATAAAAGTTGAAACCCTTGCTTATTATGCATCCTCATACTGTTCATTACACTTGGATTCTGCCTCTTGATAGTTTTCGATTTATTTCTTTATGCTTTGCATTATTATCTAAGTGTTGCATTGTTAAATTTGGATAATAATTGTATGGAACATGAGAATAAGGTATTAGGTAGAGATATTCATGGCCCTATATGCATTAATGGAAATTGAATTTTTCGACAAAATGCACTCTGATTTGTACCTTATCAGTAATAATGACCAGAAGATGTGATTTCCCCAAACTTTAGAACTGTGATTCTGAGGCATGTTTATTTTTCACTAACCCTCTATATTACAGAACAATAATTCAGATTTGTTCAAAATTATCGTTTCATCAAATGTCTTTACCAATTCATTTTCCAGGTTTGAAAGAGAATGGACTTGCCCGTTATGCAGGATATTGGTAAAACATGCTGATCTGCGGACCTTTGGAGATGGATCAACAAGTTTGTTTTTTCAACTGTTTTGATCTTGCTTGGCTTGAATCATATTTTTAAGCTAAACTCAGCCTACCAAATGTCATGTTAGTGCTTTGGTTTGGTAATTATTTTCCATGAATGGATTCCATGGAATTGATATTGAAGAAAATAATAGTAATAAAGAAAATAACATTTATGGCAATTAAATTTATATTTTTTTAATTTTCATCTACCCTTTTATTTTCTGTCCGAAACAAAATTAGGGATATTTTCTTTTTCTTTTTCAATTGGACATTTTGGACAGTATTGTTCATTATATTCATTCACTTCTTGCCTGGTAAGGATTGACAGTCATCAGGTAAGTGTATATATATATACACGTAATCTTGAGTTAAGTGTTTCCATATTTAATAGAATTACTTTTAATCGACACTAAATTTTGTCAATCTAAAACTCATTTGACTCAGTTCATTAACAAGAAAACACTTTTTTTCAAAAACAATCATTTAGAAACTTTAATTCTCTCAAATTCGGTGTGAGAAGAAAAAAAATTGACACAATTTTACATCAACAACCTATATGATTTTTATTAGAGAAGATATTGCTGTATAGTAGAAAACTGCCACCTGGCAGTTTCCACCTCTTGGTTACCTACTGTAACCGGTGCCCTGTTCCTATATAAACAGGTGTCACCTCTTTGTAATCTGTGTGAAAGCTTTTATGAATAACAGAAAGTAGTTACAGATGGAAACAAACTTTCTCTACTCTCTCTATCTTTCTAACATGGTATCAGATTAAGCCTTCGATCCATCTTCTTCCTTGCTCCGATGGCGTCACCAAACTCGCCGGAACGAACTCCGGAACGCACTCCGTCCGGTGCGACGGCAATGTCGCAGCTTCACACGCAAGACGATTCGAATCGTCTACACTTCTCGCTCAAGATCGCACAGAAACTTGATGAAAAGAATTTTCACCTCTGGCGACAACAAATCGAACCGTATATCAACGCTCACGGACTCACTGAGTTCGTCGTTTGTTCACGAATTCCGCTTCAGTTTCTTGATGATGCTGCTCGTGCGTCTGGATCTATCAATCCAGAGTATTCGCGATGGTTGCAGAAGGATCAAATGTTGCTCTCTTGGTTGCAATCCACGCTATCCAGTGAAATCCTCTCTCGTGTCCTTGGCTGTTCTCATGCTCATGAGCTTTGGGATCGTCTCTTTAACTACTTTCAGAAGCAGACGCGAGCACGCGCTCGTCAACTTCGTGTTGAGTTACGAACGATCTCCTTGGAGAATTCCACGGTTCAAGAATTTCTGCTCAAGATTCGCAATACTGTTGATGCTCTTGCATCTATTGGAGATCCGGTGCCTGCGTCACATCACATTGATGTGATTCTTGAAGGACTTCCATCAGATTTTGCACCTGTTATTTCTGTCATTGAAAGTAAGTTTGGAGTAATGGATCTTGATGAAGTGGAGATTCTTCTCCTTGCTCACGAACTTCGCCTAAACAAGTTCAAAAAGGTTTCAACACCTGATCTTGTTTCTCTCAATCTTACGCACTCTACTCCCGCTCAATCCACTCCTGATGAGAGTGTAGTTGCCACTACGGAATCTCAGTCTCCTACACAAGTCCAGTCCTCTGATTCTGATGCTTCACACTTTCGTGGTGGTCGTTCCTTCAGAGGTGGACGTTCAGGCAGGGGTAGAGGTGGGAGATTCTCCTCTACTATTCAGTGCCAAGTTTGCTCCAAACCTGGCCACACAGCTCTCAATTGCTGGCATCGATTCAACCAGCAGTTTCAGCCTACCTATGGTACTGCCTACAACAATCAAGCCTGGACTACCTCTCCTACTCCTATGGCTGTGCAGGCTTCACATGTTTGGACCAGGCCTCAAGCTTTCTATAGAGCTGCTCCTGCTGGTGCAGCACCTAGTGCTTATGTTGCTCAAGCTGCATCTACAGCCTCTGCTAACAGTGCCTGGTATCCTGATTCTGGTGCTTCATATCATGTAACAAATGACCCTAAGAATCTTCAACAGCTGGTTCCTATTGAAGGTCATGATCAAATCCTGATTGGAAACGGGCAAGGTTTGACTATCACTTCCTCTGGCACTAGTCAATTCCAGTCACCTTCACAGTCTCATACACCTCTTATGCTCCATAAGCTCATGCTTATTCCCTCTATTACTAAGAATTTAATTAGTGTCAGTCAATTTTGCCTAGATAATGCTGTTTATTTTCTGTTTACCTCTGACAAATGTCTTGTTAAATCCCAGGCATCTCATGAAGTTCTCCTAGAGGGTTCAGTTGGTCCTGATGGCTTGTATGTGTTCCCTCCTATTGACTTGTCTAAGTCCAGCTCTGTGGTTTCCACCAGTTCCAGCTCTCAGGCTTCAGCTCCTAGTATTAATTCTGCTGTAGTTTCATCTCATGTTGATAGATTTAGTACTTCAAATAAGTGGCACTTAAGGTTAGGGCATCCTAACATTCAGACACTTAAACTTGTACTCAACAGTTGTAATGTTTCATTCAGTAATAAAGAGTTGGATTTTTTCTGTACGGCTTGTTGTATGGGTAAGTCTCATAGACTTCCATCATCACCATCACACACTACTTACACCAGACCTTTAGAATTAGTGTATGGAGACTTATGGGGACCTTCTCCTAATGTGTCTACATTAGGCTTCAAGTACTACATGTCATTTGTGGATGCCTTTTCCAAATTCACTTGGATTTATTTTCTGAAATCTAAAGCTGAGGCACTGTCTATTTTCAAACAATTTAAGGTTCTGGTTGAATTACAACTTGGCTGCTCCATTAAGGCTTTTCAATCTGACTGGGGGGGTGAATTCAGACCATTTAATAAGCTTCTTTCAGAACTGGGCATTGTCCACAGAGTTGCCTGCCCTCACACTCATCACCAAAATGGTGTGATTGAAAGAAAGCATAGACATATAGTGGATACAGGACTTACCTTGCTAAGTCAGGCATCTATGCCTCTGCCCTATTGGGACTTTGCCTTCTCCACTGCTGTCTATTTGATCAATAGACTCCCTTCAGCTTCTGTTGGTTCTCAGGTGCCCTATTCCTTACTCTTTGGGATCAAACCTGACTATTCCTTTCTCAAGGTGTTTGGTAGTGCTTGTTTTCCTCTTCTAAGACCCTATTCTACTCATAAGTTTAATTTCAGGTCTCATGAATGTCTGTTTCTAGGCTACTCAACATCTCACAAAGGCTATAGATGCCTCTCTCCATGTGGTAAAGTCTACATTTCTAAGGATGTTTTGTTTAATGAGTCAAGGTTTCCTTACCTTGATTTATTCTCCACCACTAAACCTATTCTGCCTCCTAATACTTCTTCTCATGTCTCTCTCTCTCCTTTACCTATTTTCACCACTCCATCATCTATTCTTTCTCCTTCTGTTGGTCCTTCATCTGCTCCCACAATGCCCTTTAATAGTCAGTCTAGTCCTCCTTCTGCTACATCTTCTGTGTCTTCTCATTCTGCTGCAGGTACTCATTCCTCTCCTGTGGGATCTTCTGGTAGCCCTGCTCCCTCTGAATCTCTTCAGCACACCACCTCTACTGCCACTGATGAGTCCTCTTCTCAGTCTGTCAGTCAAACAAATGAGAATTTAGCACCAGATTCTGTCACCATTCCTCCCAAAGCAGTACCTGTATCAGCTGTTCCCATTAATCATCATTCCATGACCACAAGAGCCAAAGCTGGCTTCAGACAACCTAGACTGGAACCTAGGGTTTTATTGACAGTTGCTGAACCTAAGTCAGTAAAACAGGCTCTTGCTAGTGCTCAGTGGCTGGCCGCTATGCAAGCAGAGTATAATGCCCTAATTTCCAACAACACTTGGACTCTTGTACCTCTGCCACCTCATAGGCAAGCTATTGGCAGCAAGTGGGTATTTCGTGTCAAGGAAAACCCTGATGGCTCCATTAATAAGTATAAAGCAAGACTTGTTGCAAAAGGTTTTCATCAAAGGGAAGGGTTTGATTTTAATGAGACATTTTCTCCAGTTGTTAAACCCATTACAATCAGGATTATTCTGTCTATTGCTCTTACCTACAACTGGTCCATACAACAGCTGGATGTCAACAATGCTTTCCTCAATGGATTACTTGATGAAGAAGTTTATATGGTTCAGCCTCAAGGTTTTGAGCACTCTGACTCTTCATTGGTGTGCAGATTGAATAAAGCAATCTATGGCCTCAAACAAGCCCCTAGGCAATGGTTTGAGAGACTTCAAACAACTCTTGTGCAGCTTAAGTTTCATCCTAGTAAGTGTGATCCTTCACTCTTCACTTATTTTGAAGGAGGCCATACTGTCTATCTACTTGTCTATGTAGATGACATTATTATTACTGGCAGCTCTTCCTCTTTACTGCAGTCTATCATCACCAAGCTTAATGTTTCCTTTTCTCTCAAGCATTTGGGTGATCTGGACTACTTTCTTGGTATTCAAGTCACCAAGACTGCTTCTCAATCTTTGCTTCTCACACAGTCCAAATACATCAAAGACTTACTGCATAGGACTAATATGCTGGAGTGTACACCTGTAGCTACCCCTATGCAATCTACCTGCAAGCTTACAAAGGTGGGCTCACCTCCACTGACTGATCCTTTTATGTACAGGTCAGTGGTTGGTGCTTTGCAATATGCCACCCTCACTAGGCCAGATATAGCCTATGCTGTGAACAAGGTGTGTCAATTTATGGCACAGCCTCTTGAAGCTCATTGGGTGGCTGTCAAAAGAATTTTGAGGTACCTCAAAGGTACCATCTCCCATGGCCTGCATCTGACTGCTCTTACACCCTCTACTTCACCTACTATTAAGCTGTTCTGTGATGCTGACTGGGCCTCTGACCCAGATGATAGAAGAAGTACCTCTGGTGCTGCAATATTTTTTGGCCCTAACTTGGTCTCCTGGTGGTCCAAAAAGCAACATGTAGTAGCTAGGTCCAGCACTGAATCTGAATTCAGAAGCATGGCTCATGCTGCAGCTGATTTGCTGTGGATTCAAACCCTTCT